AAAAAAGAACAAACAAAACAAAAACAAGATTAAAAATCTGAAAGCAGCACCAGATCCTTCACTTGCAAACAAGGCTAGTTCAGCTTAAGCCTGGTGGTATCCCCTTTACAAAAGCACACTTCTATTTTTCCCTCAGTGACTCTTAACTGCCTGGCTTAAGGCTAAAGCCATTTCTATCATGACTTCAAAGCTGCTTCTTGTTCGTTTAAAAAAGGGGACCAGGACTGCTCTCCAACAGTGTCATTGCCACAGCCAGTCTATTCCATTACGACAATCACTGGCCTGAATGTAATATGGACACTTTACTTACTGTGCCCTGCTGGTTTTGAGTGGATCACACAGTCCCTATAAATGTTATTCCAGCACCACCCAGTGATCTGTTCTTTTTAAATGAGTTTACAAAAGAAAATGGCTTACGTCAGATCAGTACGCTATTTTATTTTACCTCTTCTAAAAAGTAATGGCATCTTTGTACCTGTTTTCAAGATAGTAGGTCATTCCTAATTTATTTTCAAGGTGTATCTGCCATCCACCTATGTTCAATGTTCAAGCAATGTCCCCACCACTGTGCAATTTAAAAACCAAAGCCCATGGGCCTGCTTCCGCACTGCTAGCGGGCTGCGGCACCCACCCCATCCAGCAGCTGGGCTGCACTTTTCTTTAAAAGTAGGCTAGGACTGCAGCAGAGTGATCTGTAGGTAATTGCAGAAAACACAGGAGAACTTCAGTCATTTTCAGAATGAGAGTGCTGGGATGGAATGTGAAGGGATGGAGGAAGAAAGAAGCTTCAGTTAAATTCACATTAGCCAAGTATGTGTTCCTGCATACGTGTACCTGCCCAAGCACCTTCGGGGAAATGTTCTGGCAGTAATTTTGAACTTAAGACACTGAAAGTTACAGCTCCTCAGCGCAAAATAAGTCTTTGATATTAACTGTTTCGTTTGCATATGCTGCCTTACTGTAAATAATACTTCATTTAATATACATGTACAGGTTGTATGAATCCACATGGTAACCATATGAATTCATGGAAACCATTCTTTATTTCAAAGGCAAATATTAGGTGAATAATCCATTTAATCTTATCAAAGTTGTTTTAAAATACCTATCTTGGTATCTGAAAGCCGTGGAAAATTGACATATGTTCTCGAGAGGGTACAAAATGTGTGCAGCATGACATGGCAGATATAATTTTAAAAGCAAGAGTAGGTTTTATTAATTTTACATTTAAGCATGCAGACCACCTGCCAAACATGCAACGGCCCATACTCAGACTTCATGCTGTGATGTCCACCATGTCTTTTTTAAGCTCCACTGAACTGTTTCTTCCCCAATTCAATGCACTATTTACCATAGCCAAACTCATGGCTATGAGCACTTTCAGGTAAAAAACGCACAGTGAGTATGTCTGTTAAATGCTCTGCTGCCTATGTGTCTGATGCTGCAAGATAGGGACATTTGTGCTTGGCTTCAAGATTATGAGCAGTTTCACTGCAACCAACGAGACTACTTAAGTGCTCATGCTATGCATGCACTTAAGTATCTCCTTGAACTGACGCTGGTGTTATCTACAGTTCTGACATCTCAGTCAATTTGAGATGCAGCAGAGAATATAAATCATGACTGGCTCAATGACAGAGACGATCAGAGACAAATCGCTCGGTCTCAGTTTTCAAATCAGTCTGTGGCTATTCACTGGGATTACGTCAGCTGCATAGGCAACTTGCATCACTGCTTTTGTAATGTAGGTATCTACCTAGCAGGCACTTCACCGACCATCAACTCACGCAGAATTTTACTCTAGAATCACTGGGAAAATATTTGTATTTGCAAAGGCAGATGTCTGCTTCCTACTGGTTAATACAGACAACAAACAGCCTCTCCCTACACCAATCCTCTTCAGTGGAAAGAGGCAGTTTGCCCACTTTCCCCTCTTCACATGAACCACTCAGCAGCAGATCACTCAAATTACATGATGCCCAAAGTGAAATGGATGCATCAGAGAGACTTCACGACTCAGTGTATGTCCTCTCCATTGGCTTCAACCAAGTTTTGTGTGAACATAAATTAGCACAGAACTTGGGCAGCATCGTCCACTTGCAGACATGCTTATGATTTACCTAGAGCAAGTCCATTCCCAGAAGAAGTCCCAGTGAAGCAGTCCATCTCCACCAGAAAGAGGATACCACTCCTTAAGCTGAACCACCTTGGAGTTTTTCAAACAGAAATTGGCACATTGAAGAAGTATTTTGCAAGAAGAGACCATTGCCATCGCAGTACAAGCACTTGGACTGAGATACAACAATGCAATATTCTTCTGAGTTCATTAGTGCAAGTTTCCACATGTGAAGCCCACACGGAATGCTGCACATAATAAATGTAAACAACGCACGAGTTTCGATTCTCATCGGCACGCCAGCCTCAACGCCCCCCGCCCCGCACACCCACCCTCCCGCCTTCATATAAATGGATTCGAGTTCCCTTATGGTTCGCAATACCCGCCACGTCCATCCTGCTGGAGAACACTGACAACCTTCTTCGCCTACAAGGAAGAACCAGAAGAACAGCTACCAGAAATCCTAGATACCTAGAATTAAGCTGGGCAAAAAACTCCAAAAACTTAGCACACCAGATCTAAAGATCAATCTTAACAGCCCTGGGCATTTCTGACTATTAGCGAGACCAGTTACGGTAGCTGGAATTCCAGACATCGCTGTTTTTCTCAGAGCTTCAATCAAAGGAGGCTCTGACATGAGCTGCTGGCAGCACTATAGCAAGAATCGTTTGTTATTAATTCTGTCAATAGTCTGAATTAAAGCCCATGACACATTTCCAGTCTGTTTCTCTTTTGGTTGAAATGGTCTGGGAAATAAGCCAGAGAGCGAACAATAAAACCCGAATGGTACCTAGGACGAATGTGTCACCCATCCTGGGCCTAGAGGCCACAAGACAGAAGCTCCCTGGTACCTTTGTTTTGAGCATGAAGATTTAGAGGACTGATCTTTGAAGACAATGAGCACTTTCAACATGGATTTGAAGTCAACAACAGCTGTAAATGCATAATGCCATCCAAGATGAACTCCCCTATAGTCAAAGCAAATTCAAAACGCTGCACTGGAATCAGAGAGAGGTTAATGATATCCTAAGTTGCCCCTCAACCTACATAGATAGTGTTTCTATTTGATTAAGCACTCTTCTTTTCAAAATCACCATGGTGAGGCTGAAAGGAGGAGGAGCCAAACAACAAAATATACAAAAATAGAGGATGAAAATATAAAATGGTTCGGTTAAGAATATCTTAAGATTTGACATTCACAGCGGTTAATACTAAGGTATTAAACTCACACCATGCAAAAGAGGAGGTATGTCAAAATCATACTGAGAAAACTGGCTTTGCCTAACAGAAATCATGAGCAGTTAATACAACAAAAGGAAACCCTTCCAATGGATAAAAAACAAAAACACATATTTCCTATGGACAGTTGTTCCGCTGACAAAGTTAAATGCTTCCTTACTAGGAAAAAATAATATATTTATATATATATATGTTTTATATATATATATATATGATTTGTATACGGTGATATCAATATACATTGAAAGTACTGCAAGGATATATTATTCATTTACAGTAAAACTAACAATCCATGGTTAAATTTATAGTTTATAAATATGCTGTCTATATTATATGTTGTATAAAAATATTTGACATTTGTGGGCACTAGGTCAAAATATTTTTTAAACGGTCTAGAAATCACTCAGGTATATGCATATTACCCTTGTCAATCACATGAAAAAAATCACACTGACCTGGTACAAAACAGAATCCTTCTGTGTTGGCAAAATGAAGAAAACATAGTATAGCATGACATTCACTGTATGAAAAGGCTAATCAGAGAAAAAAAAAGATAGAAAGAAAGTAAAAAGAAAATATTTATAGCAGCCCAGTTCTAGCAGTACTTTAAATAAGTATATCATGATTTAAAGTGACACAGAAAGGAAGAAAGGATGCAGAAAGGACAGGAAAAGCTGTATAATAAGAAAAGAAAATATACCTCAAGAAATCATTGAAATCCCAGAAGCAAGGAGAGCTCTGAATGGTGCAATTTTGCAAATGTATTAACAACTAACAGAGGAGTAATAATTTTAAGAAGTGTGTGATTTTTTTCTGGATTCACTGCTATGATTGCTGTATTCCAGTAGAAAACAAAGCCCTTTGTGTAAGGTTAATATCTGTCCTGACTGCATTTTCTTCAAGTTTAACTTTAGTTGCTGGCCCTCCGTAGTTAACATAGAGGTTATTTGGCTACTTCCAAGTATCTATGGTATGCTGCTCTGAGACGGACTTCTTTATTATTAATTACTTTAAACATTTTTGGTATTGATAAACCCCACATCTCACCTCACTGGACAAGTGACACCTCCTGGTCTTTTCATTTCCTTATGTGCTCAGTCACTTCACTGGATTAAGGCATGTTTTTGTGTTCCATTTGCAAAAATAAAAACTTTTTGTACAAATGTCTGGGTCTTTTTTTTTTTTATACAAAAATTTCTCTTCTTATGGCACAAGCAGCAGCTGCTGTTTAAGAAAATATATAAATATCCTTTTTTTTTTTTTTTCTCTCTCTCTTCTGTACAAATATCTCCAGGCCTCCTCCACCCTGCTTAATAACATTTATCTGTACACGGTCCTCCCTCGCCGAGGGCTCCCTCCCCCCTCCCCAGCAGAGCGTTTCGTATTTACACTTTGGTGGCGGAGGCAGGTGACGGAGGGGGGGGACGGCCCTCACGACGAGTCGGTGCAGGGGGACGGCGGCGGCGGGTACAGGTGGTGCGAG